CTCCTGCGAGAAGAGGCACGCAGGAAGCCGAAGACTACGCACTGGGAAGGGACGACCGAGCGGTGGCGAGATCCAGCCCAGAGCCCTCCCTTCTGGGCCTTTCCCCAGGGAGTGGCCCGAAGTCGGGCCTGTCCCTCAACAGTGGGAATGTCCAAGAAAATAAACAGATAGTCTGGGGACGATTGTTTCAGCATTCTGTGTTTTTTTTCTTTCATTTCTGTTCGCCCAAGATCCCCCTGCAGGGGGACACGCCCGACCGAAGACTGGCCCGAGGGGAGCGGGGGCCCGTGCCGCGCCTGGGCGCCGGGATCTGTCTTTCTGCGGTGCGCCGTCGCGCTCGCGGGCTCTGCCCTCGGAGCCCGCCCGTGGGGGCAGAGAGGCCGGCGCACGGCCATGCCCACGTGAGTGAAGGCGGGCACGTCCCTCGACGGGAGGAGTATTCAAACACAGGAAAAAGTAGTCAGGGGACGATGTTTTGGCAAATATTGGGGAAACGTAGTCAGGGGACGATGTAGTCAGGGGACGATCTACTTAATCTGTGAATGAGTTTGTTTTGCGTACCTGGTTTTTTTCGAGGAGAAGTTGCCTGTAGGGGGACATGCCCGACTTGACACTTGAGCAGGGCCGAGGGTCAGAGAGCGCCCTCCTCTGCAGGACCACCAACAAAGGGGACGTCAAGGTGGGCGAACGCCTCGGCGGTTGAGCCGACGAAGATGTGCAGAGTCCAACCATTCGCTGATGGTCATAGTTTTGGCTCGACGCCGGCCCCTGCAGACTCGAGGGTCCAGAGAGGAGCGCGCATGGCCACGCCCGCATCGGGTCGAGGAATGATGATGGCCACTCCAACAGCCAGTCCCCCGTCCCTGAGGTTTTCCTCAAGAGGGAAAAAACACAGACACAAGGAATCGTCGATTCCCCAGAAAATATGGGAAGATATGGGAAGTGGGGGGTAAAACAAAACCGAGAAAATATGGGGAAATATGGGGAATCCTGTTATTTGTGTGTATTTATTTGCGTCCCAGGGCCCCTTCATTCTCGCCGTTTACGGGCTCTCGGCAGCGCTGGGCACCAGGGAGCGGGCTGGGGACATGCAGGCCCAGACGCCCGCCTCGTGCTCCGACCAAGGGGTTTCCTGCAGGAAGCGTGCCCGGAGCCGCCCTCCTCGGCGAGGTGGTGTGCACCAGCCCCTGCAGACTCGAGGGTTCCGAAAGGAGCGCGCAGGGCCACGCCCGCCCGCATCGGGTCCGAGCCGCCCTCCCTGGCGAGGTGGTGTGCACCAGCCCTTGCAGAGTACAGTGCGGGCGCACATCCAGAAACCATTTGCTTTTCGTCTTGTACCCCGGGTTTCCTCGCTCCGCGCGCTGCGCGGTGACTTCCAGCGCCCGTCGAAGAGGCTGCTGCGTTCAGGTTGCTCCAGGTTTTCCCTCAGGTGCACTTTGCGCGCGGGTTTGCAGGGTTGGGTTTTTGTTGCGAGGGTTTTTTGCGGCCGCGCCCGCACTGTACTTGTCATCGCTCGGATGTGTGCACTTTTTCTCGGCGAGGGCCATCGAGGAGCATCCTGGATCATCTGCTCCCTCCCCAAAAAAGCACGCACGAGGCCGAGCAATGCTGGGGGAATGGACGCCCGAGCGATGGCAAGAGTTGGCCGTTTCCCCGGATCCGTGATTCGGTGCACATCCTCAGCGCGTCTCATTGCCGTCGTCGCCGACGCCGTCGCGGTCGTCCTGCGTGTCACTTTGCCCTTGCGCAGGGTCCCACTAGTTACCAGCGTCCCCCGATCGACTCCCCGCCCCCTTTCCCCACATCCTCTTCATTCTCACTTCCTCCGTCAGGCAGCGGTCCGTTCCGCATGGGCGGCGCGCGATGAGTGCGACGTGTCCCTCCGTAGGGCATGAACTACATCGCGGGCCTCCTGCTGATCGTGTCTGGCAGCGAGGAGGAGAACGGCCGCGGGATAGAGAGGAGAGGATGAACGGGAATAGAGAGAGAGAGGGAGAGAGAGATACTTTTATACAGATACATGTATCATTATACAGAGAGAGAGGCAGAGACAGAGGCAGAGACGGAGACAAGGAGAGGGAGAGAGAGAGATTGAGAAGAGAGAAAGAGAGAAAGAGAGAGAGAGATATTCGGCGTCACAGCAAACTTCAGGCCGCGCGGATTTTTTGGGTTGCCGCTGGCCCCTCCTTGGTGGCGCTTTGGGGTCCATCGCCTTCGCGTAGACGTGTTCGATTATTTGTTTTCAGGCAGCGGACGGGCGTTTATAATCTAGTGTTGAACGATAGCTGATCAGAGAATTATCGCATTGCTTGTCGCGTGTCGGGTGGATATCCAGTATTGTCGCATGCAGTGTCGTGGGAGACAAACGTTCTTGGCGGCGCCGGCGGCCATCGAGGAGCTTCTTGGATCACCTTGCGAGAAAGTAAACGCACCAAACCAAACAGTGCACAGGGAATGCACGGTCGAGCGATTTCAGGGTGATCTGGCTGTACCGGCCCACGCCTCGCATGCTGAGGCTGTGGCAGCCGTTGAATCACGGTTTTGCCGCGATCGCCTCGGGCTTGCCTGATTCGGTTGCCCTGATCTGCACTGTCTGCGCAAGACGAACGTCGACGACCGAGGGGGGGAAGTGAAAAGGAGGAGGCCTACCCAGAAGGCGCCGGGGCTTCTCAGAAGCCCTCCGGCCTTTGCGAATGGTTCTGCGCCTTCGGGGAAGGCTTCGAAGACCTTTCAGGAGGCCAGAGGCCCTCCGAGCCTTCCGAGAAGGCCCGCGCCGCCTGATGTCCCCCCAGGGCTCGCCGCCAAGACGAGGTAACGGATCAATGAGTTTGGTCTTGGAGCGGGATGTGCTCCACGCACGGCACGCGGGCCGTGGCGCAGCCCGCGCCCACCTCTCGGAGAGGACCGAAGCACTGGGCGGTTGATGCACAGCAAGCCGGAGGAAGCGGTATGCCTGTCGTCGGCGCTCGAGAGGTGGGGGTCCATTCAAACAGGGGTCGGCCAGAGCGCCGGATCTCGCAGGATCCTGCAGGGCCCGATTGACCCGGGTTTGGATTGACCCGGGCCAGCAGAAGCCCGATTTCCGATTTCGCTGGCGGTGCGGCTTGCTGCGTGCATGCAGCGCGGCCACTCTCGCTTCAAAGCTGAACGCAGATCCAGGATTCGATCGGGCAGCGCTTGGGGTCACACCGGCGGGGCGACGCGCTCCAAGCATCCACATCTGAGAGGGGTGCCACGTGGCTGCTGCGACCATCGCGAGCAGCAGCACTATCGGAGCGGCTGCACCTCTTGGACGCACTGCTGGGCTTGTGCCCAAGCCCTCACACGGACGGCTACTCCGAGTTGCTTAAGAAGCGTTGGGGGGCCCTCGGTTTCGCCCACGGCCCCGCATCGACCCCGGTCGCGGGCAGCCTCCGCGCGCCGAAGGCGCTCCGACCCCCGTCGCGGCGCGACGACGAGGCGAGGCTGACCCCCGTTGGGGGGGTACCCCCCCACGCCCATTGAGAGACCCGGAGTTCCGATGACAGACCTGATCTTTGTGCTTGACGCGGGCGTGCGCCAACACTGATCATGGATCCGTGATCTGGCGCGTGGGCGCCACGTCCACGGATCGGGGTGCAGGCACGCTCCCTCGAAGGCATGGGGCCAGTGCCGCCCAGTGTCTGGGATGCGGAGCGCGCGCTGATTCCGTGCGGGGGCCCTGCCGCTGATCCACGGGTCTGCCTTTTCCTGTCGTTCTCCCTCCGTCTCCCCCTCCTCCTCCTCCTCCTCCTCCTCCTCCTCCTCCTCCTCCTCCTCCTCCTCCTCCTCCTCCTCCTCCCCTCCTGCACGGGTCTGTCTTTTCCTGTCGTTTTCCTGTCGTTCTCCCTCGTCGGCTCCTCGCTGCCCGTGTTTGCCTATTGCCCATCCCGCGCTTCTTTGTCCTCCCGTCCCGGGTGCCCGAAGAAGAGCCGCGGCGCTCCGCACTGCCGCGCTGGCGGACAGCCCGGCGTGGGAAGCCCCTGTTTCAGTCGGTGTTGCGCGTTTGCGCAGTCGCTTGCACGCCGCCTTGCTGAATCACTCTCAGACGCCAGCGGTCATTATTCCATGTTTGCCTTTTCTTCTATAGACCTGCTGGTTTGAATCGCGGTGTCGCAAGCTTGGGCTCGCATGGTGCGGCGCGGGGCAGCGGAGCGATGGGGGGCTGAGGAATTGGGAGGAGAGAGAGAGTGAGAGAGAGAGCGAGAAAGGGAGACAGAGAGTCACTTGTGCAGACCCTTGGAGAAAATAAAGTTTCGATATCGCTGGCGATCTGGTCACCTCGGTGAGTGGAGGTGTCACGAGATGGGCCGTGAGCACACTGTGGGCCCGATTTCGTCCCAGGATGCCTGAACAAAAACAGAAGCGGCGAAAGTCCAAGATGGGAATCAGCGCGTCGGGGAAAGAGATAAACTAGTGTTCGTTTTCTTATGTTCCGTTTCGCCGATCGGCGCGGGCCCTCGCCCCTCCCTTTACCCCCCATGAAGTAGATTTTTGTTGTTTTTGCGCCTGTTTCAAGCAGGTGGAGTCTCTACTCATAGGACGCACTGTTACACATCGTCGCGTCAAGCAGAGGTCCAGAACCAGACCACCCCCCTCCGCCCCTCCCTTCCGCCCAACCTCGAAATGCCGAGTAAGAAAACGTTATCCTAGGATACGTAATGCCAAGAAGTCTCTCATGGTGGGAGAGAGAGAGAGAGAGAGAGAGAGAGAGAGAAAGAGAGAGAGAACGAGAGAGAGAGAGAGGGAGCCGGGAGGCGGGGGAGGAGAAGGAGGATATGGAGGAGGGTGGAGGATTGAAGATGAGGATACGGAAGAGGAGGAGGAAGAGGATATCGATAAGGAGGAGGAAACAACGAGGAAGGGAAGCTTGGATTAGCGATCGACCATGGCCCCCTCGTCGCTGCAAAGGAGAGCTTCGGAGTGCTCTGCAGCCTCATGGACGACCCGCAGTACGGGCTGGTCGGGTTCTACAAAGAAGGGTTCCTCAGCCCCGTCGAGCTATTGCTGCCAGGGGGGGGCGGTCATTCGACATCCTCCTCGGCTTTCCTTCCTCATTCATCTCTCCCAGACCAACATAACCGGGAGAATCTTGATCCGTTTTCGTGCCCCGGGGCCGTCAACAGACGATTCGGGGTGAAACACCTTTTTACAGCTAGGGAAACTTTGGTAACGGATTGTGCACTTGGAGGGCTAGTTTGCGTTACTTGCGGCAGAGGTTTGGAAATGGTTCGGAACGTACCCTTGTGTTCGGCACGGGTTGCTGGAGCGCTTTCGCTCGATGCAAGTTCCTTGCTGGAGCGCACGCCATCGGCTGCAAGAGTGCCCGCGCTTAATTCAACACATAGTGGGGGAGCACGCTCCGTTTCTCTGCATGGGTTGCTGGAGCGCACTCGCTCGATACATGTTGGGGTGCTTCGGGCTTTCACCCAGAAGTGGTCAGAAGCCGGGCGAAGGCTGGCAACTCCGTGGCTGCTAAAATGGAGCTCCGGGAAATTGCTATTTTTTGTCCCTTCCGGGGAGCGGCCCGGTTTACTATTCAGCGCGCCGAGAGTTCTTCCGACAGTTTTTTTGTCTCTTCCGGGAGGATCGCTTTCGCAGCCACGGATTTGCCAGCCCGGCCCCCGCCCTCGCCAGGTCGGCGGCGGGCGGCCCAGATCCCCTCGAGCAGCCTGCAGGACGAGGGGGGAGGAGGAGGGGGAGGAGGAGGAGGAGGAGGAGGAGGAGGAGGAGGAGGAGGACGGAGAGGAGGAGGAGGAGGAGGAGGAGGAGGAGGGGAGGAGGAGGAGAGGAGGGAGGAGGAGGAGGGAGGAGGAGGAGGAGGAGTTTGGTTCAAGGAGGGGCCGGGGCGCGGGGCGTTATTTTCGCAGCGTGCCCGCGCCTCGGTTTCTTGTGCGGTGTGTGTGTGTGTGTGTGCTGCGTGGGTGGGCGGGAGGTGCTGGTCGGCTGGGTGGACGCAGGCGCGTGCGCGTGCTCGTGCGTGGGCGCGCGCGCGTGCGTGTGCGCGGAGGCGCCGGCCTGTCCGCTCCCACGCTGCTTGCTTGCTGCTTTTGCTGCCGCCCTCTCTTCCCCTCCCCCCCCCCCGCTTGCTGCCCTCCTCCTCTCCTGAGCCACGGGGCGACTTCTCGCGCTGGTTTAAAAACAAACAGAGCGTGGTTCGACGCGTGGACGTGCGGGCGCGCGGTGGCATCCCAAATGGCGCCAGCAGCGCGCGCTATTTGATTTAAGTCGGGCCTGTCCCTCTACAGGAGGAAAATCCAGAAATAGTCAACAAAGGGTCTGGGGATGATTAGTTGACGATGTTTGAATACTTTTCGTGCATTTCCCTACCTAGGCTCTGCCTAGAAGGGTTCTTACTCTCTAGCTTAAAGGGGCCGGGCAGTGCTACACGCCCCAGGCGGTTCCCCCAGTCCCCGCCCCGCGGTTCCCCCAGTCGCGCCCCCTTAGCTTGGCTTAGCTTATCTCGTCTTAGCTTAGCTTAGCTTAGCTTAGCTTGGCTTAGCTTAGCTTAGCTTAGCTTAGCTTGGCTTACCTTAGCTTAGCTTAGCTTAGCCTAGCTTAGCTTAGCCTAATGTAGCTTAGCTTAGCGTAGCATAGCATGGCATGGCATAGCATAGCACAGCATATCATAACATAGCACAGTATTGCATAGCATAGCTTAGCATAGCTTAGCAACGTGCCCCCTTAGCTTGGCTTAGCTTATCTCGTCTTAGCTTAGCTTGGCTTAGCTTAGCTCGGCTTAGCTTAACTTAGCTTAGTTTGGCTTACCTTAGTTTAGCTTAGCTGAGCTTAACTGAGCCTAATGTAGCTTAGCTTAGCCTAGCATAGCATAGCATGGCAACGCATAGCACAGCATAACATAACATAGCACAGTATTGCATAGCATAGCTTAGCATAGCTTAGCATAGCATGTATTGTGTAGCTTTAGCTTAGCTTTAGCTTAGCTGTAGCTTAGCGTTATCTTAGCTGTAGCTTAGCTTTAGCTTAGCGTTACCTTCGCTTTAGCTTAGATTTAGCGAAGCTTTAGCTTAGCTTTACCTTAGCTTTAGCTTAGCTACATCTTATATATAGTTTAGTTTTAGCTTAACGATCGTTTAGCTTTCGCGTAGCTTTATCTTAGCTGCAGCTTAGCTTTAGCTTAGACGTAGCTTTGTTTTAGCTTCGCTTTACCTTCGCTTTAGCTTAGTAGCTTTGGCTTAGCTTTAGCTTAGCGTTAGCTTATATTTAGCTTAGCTTTAGCTTAGCTTCAGTTTAGCGTTAGCTAAGTTTTAGCTTAGATTTAACTTAGCTTTAACTTAGCTTTAGTTTAGCTTGAACTTAACTTTAGTGTTACTACCAATGCTGCTTCCATGGGGGCTCCAACTCCTAGGTAGGGTCGCACTGGGATATTTTTGTTGACTATCTTTTAGTTTCCGCCCGAAATCCCCCTGTAGGGGGAAAGGCCCGACCTAACCACTTGATCCATAGCGCACTGGAGGGCCCAGGCGCCCGGCGTCGCGGCCGCCAGGGCATACCGTGCGCCGGCCGAGAGGGGCTCTGCACGACGTTCAGCGTGCACGGCACGACGCGGACCCTCGAGGCACAGATACATGCGCTTGAGGTGATGGGCATGGTTTCCACCACCACCAGCTTGAGTTGGAGCGGGGAAGGAGGTGGAGGATAAGGATGAGGAGGAGGAGGAGGAGGAAGAAGAAGAGGGGGAGGAGGACCCCCTCCCCCTCAAGCTTATGGCGGTGGTGGTGGGAAACAGGCCCATCATGAGGGGACGACGCAGCTGATTTGCACCCAGAAGGCCCCAAGTGCACGTTTTTGAGCGCTCAACGCTCGTGAAGTGTATGCCGGCCTGCAACACGTCGTATAGAATTTTCGTGAGTTGATTCGCCCATTCAGCCGGGTGCTTATGACCAGGCGCAAGAGGAGGCGTCTGGGGGCATAGAAGGCTCTGGGGCTTGGGAGCCCACTGGCGCTGCCCCTGTATATTCGCTGGAGGCGATCCTAGTCCCTGCCTCGCCTTTTCACCACGTGAACTGCGGTCCGAGCGTAGTCGACGTCCATTAGGCTCACGATGGCGCTTGCCGCCGCGATCGGAATCAGGGAATCCTACGCCGTGCCTATAGAGCCGCACGGACGTCTTGTCTGTACAGTCGAACGTTGCGTCACACGGGCCCATGGATCAGAGGGGAGTCAGCAGGTCCCTGCAGGCCCATATCTTCTTCAGTAACAAGGCTGGCGTATCTGAGATGCTGGCAGAGTCTTCGGCGGCACGTGCTGTCGTGGATGCCTTGTGTGGAACATGTGGAGCACGACCGCGGCGTGTCGGAATTCCTGACGTTCCCATTTGCCCTGAAGGAAACACATGGTGTGGAACGCAGCGTCGTGCGTCGGGATGCCGCGGTGATTAAGCTTAGCAGCGACTTGTTGCCGCACGAACATGATTGGGTTGTTATCGAAGACGTCTACGGCGAACCATTGCCGCCCCTTACCTTTCTGGAAACGCCTATGTGGCCGAAAGTTGAGAAGGAGCTTGGCCAAGCGATCGGACCATGTGTTCCCCGAATCGGTCTGGAAAGCCTTCGGGGAACACGTGGGGAGAGAAGGAGGACGTGGAGGAAGGGGTGGAGTGGAGTGGAGTGGACTCCGCTGCGCAGCAGGTTCGAATCTTAGGAAGGCCTGGACAGACGAGCATTCGAACGCCGAGTAGCTTGCTCAGCTCGGCTCAGAACTTTGGGATGTAACCCCCGTGCAATTCTGTCAAGGTACTCTTGCCCCGTGGCGGACTTCCTCTTACTACAGGGGCCCTTAAGAGATCGCAGAGCCTTATCCGCGATACCCCCACACTCTGTGCAAAACCAAATCTGAAGGGTCGGGTGAACATTCAGGGTATGCGTAGTGTGGGCCCAACCCCCCGCGATATGAACTCGCGACCCCTTTCAAGGCGAAAACACAACCCCATCGACATTGTACAGCCTAGGACATTCAGATTCGACGAATTCCTGAGCGGTAGCGAGGGATGCAGAGCTGAAACAGGAGAGGCAACGTCGGCCGCAGTCGGCCAGACGGTGCCTGGACATGAGGGCAGCAACAGCAGCAGCTGAGAGAGGCGGAGGAGGAGGAGGAGCGGGAGGAGGCGGGACCTCAGAAGGGCCCCCAGGGCCTCGGGTGGCATCCTTTTCCTTTCTCTCAGCCTCCTGGCTGGCGGCCATGCTATCAAGCGTGGCTCGGAGGAGCCTCAAGCGGACGAGGTACGCCCTCCGCTCAGCCAGCAGGATGGGTTGGCGGACCTCGGCGGGCAGCCTGGCTCTGGCCGCTGCACAGCCCGCGAACTCGTCGGCGAGCAGGTTGCCGATGACAAGGTACCTGTTCACCGTCTGGGCGGCAACGTCCTGAGCCGTGCTGTGGGACGGCGTCCAGAGTACCGTCACCTCGGCGTGGCGGCGTGAGCTCATCAGGTCCCCGATGAGCTTCCATAGGTCGGCGTCCTCGCCTGCTGGGTTCAGGTAGGCTTGGGAGTACCAGCCCGCCGCAACGTACTCGCAGTCCGTCACGTAGGTGAGGTACCTGGTCGTGCACCAGAGCGCGAGGTACAGGGAGTAGAGCTCCCCTCTCGCCACCACTTGGCGCGGGCCACCAAGCTGGCCGAAAACTGCACCATGTAGGTTGATCTCGGGCAGCAGGCTGGCCACACATACTACGGCAACTCCGATCCGCATGAAATCACTGATGCTCGCATCTGGTCCTCCACTGGCGTCACCCAATATCTCGACTGGTGACTCAGCGCTCCCCGCCCCGAAGATCCCTTCGGAGAGCTCGTTGATGCCCGTGAACTCCAGGACCGTGTCCTTCGGTGGGGGCGGGGTCTGGGTCCACTGGCTCGGTAGCAACCCGCGTAGCCAGAAACACTCGGTGGCGTCCGTCTGGGCCAGCGCGGCTGAAACCAAAGACTCTGAGCGAGTATAGGGCGTGGCCGACACGTTCTTGCTGC